TTGGGATACTGCTCCAATAATTTGTTACGAAAATAAGCACGGGTATGAGTTTGTATATTTACCTGAGGCATGGATGGGATCTTAGTTTCCGGTAAAGTTTTCTTGGTTTGATCGTTCCCCAAGGGAACGGTTTTTAATTTCACTTGATCTATAATATTCTGAATTTGTGTATTAGTCAATTTTGAAATCTCATTTGCACTATATGTGGTTAACTTAATTTTATCCATTCCAACTCCATTTTTCCCAAATAGCATAAGAAGTTTTCTAGCTCTAAGAGTTTTTTTACGCAAGTTATCTTGAGTAATATTAGGAAGAAACGGTTTCATTTCTTTATAAATCATCGTTCTTGCTGTTTTGTCTTTGATCTTACCATCAGCTGTAATAGTATGAATCTTGTTTTCGAATTCAAGAGAATAATAATACCAGTTTATGATTTCTTCTTGACGAGATTTGATTGCTGTTTTAAATAAATAAGATAGATGTTGAGCTGAACATTTATTCTCTGATGTATTAATTTCAGTAGAGCTAGTATTATCTATTGCAGAATCAGGCCCAAAGGGCGATCCAAGTATCATGAGGCCTTGCTTCTCAGTAGATATACCCAATTCTTCTATTAAGCCCTGCTCTACAATTTGATTTTTATCAGTCCCATCATCTTGCTCCAATTCAGATATTTCAGTTTGATCATTTCCCGAACTAATGGTTTTTGTTTCACATGATGAATTTGAAACTTGATCGTTCCCCGAGGAAACGGTTTTTATATCACGTGATGAATTGGATGGTTTTGACGAGTTATCCGAAGATAAGTTTTGATCTCGAAATTTCTTTTCCCTTATGCTCTGAATTATCTCTTTACTAACCTGTTCCTTATACGTTGAATCCAGGAATTCATTTTCTTCTTTCTCTTCCAATGATATGGTTTCCGCAGGGATAGGAGATGTTGAGGTCTCTAATTCCTGTTGTGTATCGGAATTGCCGGAGGCAGTCACTTCGTGGCTAGATATGTTAGACTCCTCATTATGTGAGACTATCTGTTCATGAGTATCGTTAGAATTTAAAGTATTATCAGTTATATCAGATATCAGGGTATCAGTGGTATAACCACGAGTCTCTGACTCATCACATTGTGGCACTATCTGTTTAGGAGTATCGTTAGAATTTACTGGAGAGTGCGAAATATCTTCCGTAGAAATACTTTTTTCCTGTTCTAATATAGCGAGTCTGGTCTCAAGCTCTATATTCTTTTGCTCTAATTCCTCGACTCTAACATCGCGCTTTTCATTCTCCTCAATAATCTGCTTCAGCTTCGCATTCTCCTTTCTAAGCTTGGCAATCTCAGCTATAAGTTTGGAATTCTGTTCTTCTAATGTATCGACTTTGGATTGTGCATCTGCCATTGTTTTATACAAGATACGGATATGTTTAAAAGTTCGAATTCACATGATTTGATCGTTTCCTTAGGAAACAGTTTTTAATATATACACATATACATCGGAATTACGCGAAAAATAACACATGATACGTTGTGCGCAAAAATCTTTATTGATAAAATATGTGATAATAATACAGGATAGGGCGTAGCCCATTAACGTTTTACATGATCGTAAATTAATTCAAATTAGGTGTTAGCAATAACAATATATCAGAAAAAAAAATGCATTAAATAAAGTTTCTGCTTTTAGACCTAATTTATACAAAATCCAGATTTATTGTATTATATAACATTTATTAAAGTTAATATGCGCTGATTAAATGATCCGATTTTTTTGTTACATGATTACGAAAAAAAAAACGCTCATATGCGAAAAGATCCTGTGATAAGCAAAATAGTGTATCCTTTATGGGGTTTTAATGATAGAATCTTCTGAAGAAGAATCCTCGTTTTGTTGTGTAGAGTTGGACTTCTTTAAGAAAGTACGGCTTATTCCGTGAATATTCACCATTATTCCGTTCTAAATATACATTAAACTTAGAAGTAGTGTCTAATGTTGAAAGACTAATTTTTAAATTTCAAAATTCTTACTCGCAGAACTAGTAATGCATGTACAAAATCTTCGACTTCTTCTAATGACGCATTATGAAAAGGAATCTTAGCTTTGGCGATAGGGAGATAAAACTTTATACCATTTTCTCGCAAAAATCCATTTATAACAATAAAATGCTCATCTAATTATTATAAAAATTATTAGAAAATAGGTTATTATATATCTACATTGCAAAATAACAGTACGTTTTACCTGTAATATTAATACCGAACGTAATACAAAATTTATTCAGTTCATTCTTATTAATTTTTTTTGACATATCAACATATCCATCTATGCAAAAATGAGCCAACTTGTTATGATCATTATGGGATTTTATTTCTGTCGACCTCCATTTTCCACTTTCTAAATACGCAAGCTCGTTCCATCTTCGTTTGAAAAATACCCGGACCATTAAGTCTGGTTTATTCCCCCTTGATCCAATAACTTGTTTTGTCTTCCGTTTCTTACTTGCCATGCTTTGGCGCTCATTTCTTGTCACCTCAATATCAAATTCAATTGGCACTTGATATAACGATGCCTCCATAAGGCGTGTAATAGCATCAACAAGCACATTCTCCGAACCGCCGGAAACTCGACGAAGAACATTTCTTTTTATTTCTTGCAAAAGAATATCTGTGATGTTTACCGCTACTTGCACTCTATCTACTCCCCTCTCCACCCAGCGACCGTGGCTTAATACTTCCGATGGCGAAATAATGAACTTGTACTGGTTCCGAATTTCGTCCCGAATTTCGTCTCTTTTAGTAATAAAGTCCGCACACGCCCCCTTTACCAAAGGATCCTTTATCAAATTTTTTATTCCGCTTTTCTCGCCCTGTGTTAATAATTCCCAAACACATATGTTATTGAGAATGATCGGCATAATTTTTTGTGCGAATAAAAATAAGTTACTCACTACAAAAACTTCATAGTCATCTTCTATTATCTGGTATTGAGGGGATCCAAGGTCAACTATACCATTAGCTAATGGGCTATCATAGGTTAAATCATTAATATCTACTACTCGTATCTTTTCAAGAAGGCGTCTATGTTCCAATGTGTTTGCATCCTGATAATTTGGAATTAGTAATGCGATCTTTTATATTCGGTTCCCAGTAAAATTAATAAATATGCATCTAAATACCTGTAAGTTTCCTTTTAATCTATTGATGTTAGATACAGCATGTAGTTTCCAATTCGGAGGCTCATCGGTCTCAAATCTTTACAGAAAGAATCGTTAGATTCATTTTTCTTCTGTGTATTTCATTCTAGAAAACATTTACCGAATTAAGTCATCGTCTACTAAAAATTTTAATTCTTTCCATATACATCGCATCTGAAAGAATAATATTTATAGTACGTTACTAAATACCAGAAAATAAAAATCTATAGTCTATTACAAATTGTGCAGATCAGAGATTTTTCATTCAGGAAGCATGCTATTATGGTACCATCACTAAAATATTTTCTTATTTCATAAATCATCATTTACATAACACAAAGCTGGTACTTCTCGCAAATGGTTTATGGCCAGTCGCCATCGCTTACGTAACTTCTTTTTACAAAGCTGGTACTTCTCGCAAATGGTTTGTAGCCAGTCGCCATTGCTTACGTAACTTCTTTGCATAAGTAATACGGTCTGACAAGTAGCTCAATTTTTTTTATCATCATATCTATCGAAAAATAATATTGGTGAATGGTATGTACTATACCTTATTAATATCTTGTAATGATATGAGGCATTGCTTTCTACCATTATCAAGATTTTCCATTTCCAACTCTTCTAAAATCCTCAAAAGGCTGTCGCAATCATTATCTTCTGATTGTATATCACTATGTTTCCATAGCTCATGGAAGACTCTAGAAATTGCAATTTTATCAAGCGGTTCGTTTCGTAAAAAATCTTTTAAGTGGTCGAATTCGTGAGAAGTCATTATGAGTTGAAGGTTAAGAATTTTTTTGAGTTATATGTGTGAGAAAATAATTATGCAGTGTAGTTGATCAAATGCAATTTTTTTTCTTAATCAATCAGCAGGTCACACAATTACATCATGCATGAAAAGTTCTACGACCTTCTGTGGTATACATCTGTGTTACGCTTATTTCGGAAATTTGGTCATAGTAACAATCAGGGGTACCCAACACATGATAAACGTTGATTGAACATCTGTATTACACAATTGATTTTTCAGGCATAACGACATTTTCATTAACTTAGAAATAACAAAAAATGAATATACATGAGGTAATTAATCGAATTTGGTTAATCACACAAATAAATATGCATAAATTATATAGTTACACTGCATATACAAGTATTCAGGAAACCAAAAATTTACAGGTCGTACACAAACAATTATTGTTATCTGTTATTATGTTTAAAAAATAAGAATTCGAATGATTCATTTTATTTAAATGATTTAATCAAGCGAAATAAAATAAAGATACATGGATATGGATAATAATAAATAATATTGATTTTTTACGGTAGAGTTGCAAGGGAGAGAACGTACGGCCCCTAGACCATTCAATGTACGCCCCTATACTTTGGCTCTACCAGGTGAAAAAACTATTTACTATTATTGTTATAATCTATTCTTTCGTTAGAATTGTAGTCGTTACCATCACTATTCATGATTTTATTTTTTTCTTTAGTTTTAAACGCAATCCAAGCCTTTATCGCGCCGATGGTTCTGGCGTCGGGTTTCGTTGTTTGATTATAAAAACTTTCAATAGCCTTGAATCCGATAACTTTTATTTTTGTTTGTTTTTTTAGATCACTCATAACTTCATTAATCATATCTGATTTAGTATGATCGTTTTCTTCCATAGTTTCATTGAAAAGGATCTTAAAATTTTGCACAATTTCAGAATTTGAAGATGATGATCGATTCGAAGCTGGAACAGATAAATACAAAACGGTTAGCCCTGGATCATTGACATGAAAGGCTTAAAAAAAAATAAAACGCTTACCTTGAGAACTATTTGTCAATTCACTTGAAGCATCTCCCGAAATTTGTTTTTGTTGCATCTCTTCGTATAGCAATTGAATTTTTTCAGTAAGGTCATCAAATTTTCGATTAACGTCTTCGGATAGAAGTTTCTGCGCATCTTTTAGTGAAGTAAGAGTGATATCGGTTTCCCGTTTTAAATTATACAGAGCAAAGCATGCAATTACAATGATTAGGTAAACTGGGAATTTTCCTTTGATAATCCACAATACGATGACAATCAAGATTGGTATAAAAATGAAATAATTTTCTGATGGCGTTTGTTTGAAATATTCTAAGATATTTGTATCCATCTGTTAGGGATTAATGTGAGCGTATAAAGTCATTAAAAAGGATATTCAATAAAAAAAAAACAATCGATATATCAATATAAGTCAGAGACCACTTACTTTGGTATAATAAACCTTTGATTTAACAAATATATGACTGGTTTTTTAAAAGAAAATTTTGATATAGTTTTGATTAATTTACGACGCTTTATTAATTTATTTATTTTTTGAATGTTAACAGATTTTTATTGCTTTGCAGTAACTTTGTGGGTATATTTATTCGAATGTTATAGTTATGAAGTAGAAAAATTATACGAATTCAAGTTCAAGCTGTTTTTATACATATTTCAGAATCTCTCTGGCGTTGATTGTCGATTTGCTATGGGTACACACTATTAAAGTTATCAACAATCATTGGTTTTTTCGAATTACACGGTCAGCTCATTAAAAATTTATCTACTATGGACGATCTGTTATCTTTGCCGATCATAATTA